CTGGAGGGACTATGTCTCTCGGCTGGCCTGGGAACGCCTTGGAGTTCCCCCGGAGGAGCTGGAAGAAGTGGCTGGGGAGAGGGAGGTCTGGGCCTCCTTTCTGAAGCTGCGGCCCCCGCGACCCGACTCCGGATAGGCGGAAGAAAATGGATGGATGGATGGGTAACATAGTTAAACCAAACCCAAAATACAGAAACTGATCACATGTTTTTATTTCAGCCTTGTTTGATTGCAGATTTGTTGACAAAGTCTAAAAAGCTTTGGATCACCTCCTCCTTGTTTGCAGTGTTGACAAACAGGAGAACCCCTGTCAGGGTATTTTGTAGACTACACTGATCTTTAGTGAGAGCAGGGAGCAGGTGGAAGAGAGCCTGGAGAGGTGGAGGGATGTTAGAGAATAGGTGTGATGGAGACAGATGATGTGCTGCGAGTGCAACCTGAAAATAATGAAAAGTTTAATGAGATCAACAACAAAAAAACAACCTGAATCCACTCTTCATGCTGCTTCAGTCTGTCTTCTTAAGTTAAAAAAATCATATTTTGTGTTTTATGGATCTTTATGTCTTCCAGCAGCAATGCCACAGCTGGACAGCAGGTGTGCTCCTGACACTGCAGCACAGAAAGCCACTGTAGTGCTTCAGTGTGTGTGTGTGTGTGTGTGTGTGTGTGTGTGTGTGTGTGTGTGTGAGTCAGCAGATGGGACAGCCTGGCACACCGCTGCTCCTGCCACTCTGCTAGAGGAGAGGGAAGGCAAAGCCCCGGACAGCAGAAGAGGGGGAGTCGGAGGGAGCGGGCTGGGAGACAGAGAGAAAGCCCAGGCCCAAATAAAGCCATGGGGGCCACAACTGGGCTGGGTCCCTCTCTGCTATAAATACGCTGGCCGCCTGCAGGTTCGGGTTTGGTGGTCGAGGCTTGGGACCGGCGACGGCCACAGCTGCTGCAGCCTTCCTCAGGCGAGTCTCCTCCTTTCACTCATCCTCCTCCTCCTCCTCCTCCTGCTCATCCAAGATGCCTCGGGTGGACTCGGACCTCAAGCTGGACTTCAAGGATGTCCTTTTCAGACCCAAGAGGAGCAGCTTAAAGAGTCGCTCAGAGGTGGGTGCTGTTATTACTTTGAAAGTTTGGATCAGGTAAATGAGGTGGGGGCCAGTTTSCTGTTAAAGGCCTCTGACACAACAGAATGTATCCCTGTGACAAAAGGACCCTCTGTGTTGTCATCATAATTAAAGTTCTGCTCTTCTGTTGCTGTTTGATGAGTCTGGGTCATAAAACAGTGAGGTGACCTTCTTAAAGGTGACACCAAACAAGCTCAGCCGGTCAGAGCGAAGCTGCACTCAATAAAAACTTCTACAAATACGAGAAGCTTCAGAACAAAAAGGTCAATGTTGGTGAATTTGGATTTTATGTGATTTTTAAAATTAAAAATAACTTTGCATTTCAGAGGTAAACACAACCCTCCTATTTTTTTTAAAACCCACCCACTTCCTCAGCTTCAATCCACATCAACAGATCTGAGAGCGATGAAGATCCTGATTGTAGTTTTAGTGGATTGAGACTTTAAAGTGACAGCAGGGGGGTTGGCGAGCAATATGAAGCACAGGAGACTTCTCAGAAACACGGTTTAAAAATAGAACTCTGTTACAGGCAGGCCACAGAACATTCCATTCGCCTGAGAGATATGAGGATACTGTAACATAACAGATATAAAATAACAAGGATAGTAAACCAAAAACAAACGTTGAGAATGACGGCGGTCCATATGTCCTGCAGGTCTGCACTAACAGGTGCAGGTAGAGTCACTGCAGTTCAGTACAAGTTGTTCTGAGTCATCACGTACGCCGGTCTTCACCCTCATGAGCGTGGTTGACTTTATAAAGCCCCCATCTGTAGAGCAGTGACAGGTTAGTCCACCTCCATCATCAAGGACAGACATCAACAACCGTCATCAGTCAAAGCAACACGAGAGAATACGTGCTGTAGAGAACAGTGTTCCACATTTCAAATACATTTCCATAATACATGAATTAAATCACTACTTTTAACTTCTTTTCCCTCATTTTGTGGAGAAATGTTTAACTCAAAACTGTTTAATCTAGCCCTGTAAAGTGAGTTTTGTTATTTCAGACTGGTCAAATTTACCCCTCAGTTCTCATCCCACTGTCCGTTTGTTTCAGACACACTAAAGTGCGAACCATGAGTCAGCACACGGTGACTGTGCTCCACTGCATGCACCTGCCTCCACCTCCCTTCTCTGAGGCAGAATGAGTTACAGCCTCATTTCAACTGCAGCTCAGCAAACTGTTTCACTGTGACAGTCATGATGCGCTTTTCAGTCCTTTTTTATACCTCCTCTATTTTACCTGGTCCTGACTCAACGCAGACGTAGCTTTAAGTGAAACAGAACAAAAATAAACAAATAAATAAAATAAAAAAAACTCAGAATGCTTGTTACTAATTTTGTCTTTGTAACCAATTTTAAATTGTGACATCAGACAGTATTTAAAGGGGTGGTGTGTATTTTCCAGGCACTTAGTTCATTTCTATACCACAATCAATGTTGCCTTCAGCTGTTATGAAAATACTCTTTATATATCAAAAATAAATTTGACTTTTCATCAATCAATCAAAAAGTCTTGAAATTGGCCTCTGTCTCTTTAAGAACCTCCTACTGTTTCTGACACTCCCACTTCAGCACATTTTCACAACATTGCTTTAGGGGGTGGGTGATTTTTGGGGCGGGAGCTCGGCTGCAGACTGAGCTCCTGGGCGGAGCTTTGTGTAAATAGGCGGAGCTTTGTACCAGTAAACGTTTAGGCAGCTCCACAYGGCTACCATGAGAGATTCAAGGATTTCTCAAACATGCATGAATGAGTCAAAACAACACTCTGAGTATGTTTTTGATGAGGGAATGACATTATAACATATGAGGTTCAAAAAAGTTGATGCTGCATACCCCCCTCCCCTTTAATAATGATAATATGATATACATTGAGATCAATGCACATTTCTATACAATGACAAAATTTGTGCTCTGGATTTAACCCATTACATGTGAGATAAGCTCAACTGGAGCAGCAGGCAGCTCCCAGGGAGTAACTAGAAATTGTGTTTTGCTCAAGGACACCATGACATATGGGCTTGACAAGGAGTTGAACCTGGGGCTTTTTGGCCCCAAGTCAGCTGCCCTTCCACTGCACCACAGCAGAATTTTGTAATTTACACGTCACTTGCAACAACTTGTGTAGCCATGTAACAAGTAAAAAGTGTCCTAAYAGAACAAGAATGATGATTTTAAACCAAATCCAGTTCTCATGCCTTTTACCTGCATTCCCATGGGTTTCCATTAGAGTCAAAAATACATAAACATGTTAACTTGTTGTGACAAATGAAACCTCATGCCACCCAAACAGTACAATATGACCTAGAAACATATTTTTGGCACTAACAGAACTCCGTACAGAGCTGCAGCAGCAAAAAACTGCACTCTGAAACAAAATCAGGATTTACACGTTAAAAACAATCATGTTAATAAATAAACACTCTATAAAGCAAACAGCTGGTGGAGCTTTACCAGGTCGCTATCCTGCATGATTTAAAATGTTCCCTGCTCTTCAGTGGGTCTTGAAGTTCTGCAGAAGCCCGTTAGTCACTCATTCAGTCAAATCAAGTGCGTCAAAGCAGAGTAACATTTACAAAATGCAGGATTGTGATCATGGAGAATTAAGACTGGAGGCAGCAGAATTAGATGCTAATCATCAGATCTAAATGGTTCAGTGTAACCAAATAAAACAGGCTCAGAACAGAAACCATACGTGGTGCTAAAGTAAAGTGTGATGTTTTATCTTCTTCAACTTCAGGTGGATCTTCAGAGGACGTTTACATTCCGCAACTCCAAGCAGACCTACACGGGTGTCCCCATCATCGCAGCCAACATGGACACTACAGGAACGTTTGACATGGCAAAGGTTTTCAGTAAAGTGAGTGAGAACTCATCCTCCCCTCCTCCCCTGTGTTTTCTGAAGTGGGGTAAATTCAAAGACTTTGTTTCTGTCCTCAGCACACCCTCTTCACAGCCATCCACAAGCACTACTCTGTTGAAGACTGGAAAAACTTCGCTGCCAATCACCCAGAATGCCTAGAGGTGAGCTCGCTGCTGTTTGCTTCAGGACTTTGGTTGTTTCTTCGAAGAAACCAGAGCAGAAATCCTGTCCACTGAGAGCAGTTTGTTTCCCACAGCATGTTGCTGCGAGCTCAGGGAGCAGCACCGCCGATCTGGAGAAGCTGTGCGCCATCTTGGAGGCCATTCCCGCCCTCAAGTACATCTGTCTGGATGTGGCCAACGGCTACTCGGAGTACTTTGTTGAGTTTGTCAAGACGGTGAGAGAAAGGTTTCCCAAACACACCATCATGGTAAGGACCACCTTCCCTCGAGTTGACCTGCAGCTTGACTCCTGGCCTGTGTGAGAGCCTGCTTTAACACTGCTGGTTTCCAGGCTGGGAACGTGGTGACGGGAGAGATGGTGGAGGAGCTCATCCTCTCTGGTGCTGATATAATCAAAGTGGGTATCGGGCCAGGTGAGCGAGTTTTATCATCATCAGCAAAGGCTCTAAAAAGTTTTAGAGTTGCTATCATGAGAGGCAGGTTCTTGTTGCTGCAACAGCTCAACAAGTCGAGACAAAGATGGACTGTGTGTTGTGTGTGTGTGTCTGCACAGGTTCTGTGTGCACAACCAGGATCAAGACCGGAGTTGGTTATCCACAACTCAGTGCTGTTATAGAGTGTGCAGACTCAGCTCACGGACTCAAAGGACACATCATCTCTGTAAGCCCCTCAGCCTCAGACACATACTTTAAGACTGAAGGATTGATAAGAGAGTGGAAGAGGTCAGTTTTTAATGAGCACCAGTAAATACAATGGTCAAACATGGATTGAAGTGAGTGCAGGGTCTAAACATAAACATAAAATCAGCCTGTTTAAATGTAATTTAATCAACATGTGAAGTCCTACAATTGGATCCATTTTTTTTTCAACCGACAACCCCATCTAAAAGCCCTGAACAGGTGATCAGGTTATGATGTGTTGGTGGTAAAAGTACAGGCTCATTATTATCAGTAGTTCCCTTTGTTTGTATTTATTTCCAGTTAATGGAAGACTATTTTGGTCTTGATTGAAATGAGATGTTTGCACCTGTTTATGCAGATTAGAGCAGTTTAGGGCATCGGATCTGCAAGGTGCAGCTGGATAACTGTAATTATGTTTTAACAGTGTATAAACACCACATAGTGAAAACTGACAAAGAAATATTGTTTAGCTGTTGAGTTTTGAGGTAAAGGCCCTGTCACACTAACGTTTTACATAATTTGTGCCAACTTATGATGTTAGACACTGGAGATGTCAACATTATAGATAGAAGCCTCTTTTGGAAGTTTACATACTGTAATGATTAGAACAAATATATAAAATGTTTGAGTCATAACATTTTCTTACGTTGGCATAAGTTATCTAAAACTTTACAGTGTGACAGGGCCTGAGCTTTCTGCAGCAAGCAATGAATCAATCAACATTTATGTCAAAAGGTGCACAAAGTGCTTCACAGTACCAGAAGGCCACTTGGTATTAAAAGATTAGATTAAAAAAGGCCCAGATCAGTGAAGGAGCACACGTCTTCAGATAGTTTGTTCAAACTGGTTGCAGCAACTGAAAAGGCTCAGTCATCCCAATGTTTGTTTTTAGATTTTGGGACAAACAGTAAGGTTTAATTCTTTTATACTCCAGAAAAGCTACTAGATCAGTTAAGTCAGGTGGGGCGAGACCATTAAGAGCTTTAAAAGTGAATAATAAAAGTTTAAAATCAGTTCTAAAAACAAAACTGGAAGCCAGTGGAGAGAAAACAAAATGAGGGTGATGTTGCATTTTGGACCATTTGAAGACGTCTGAGGATTGGGAGATACAAGACATTACAGCAGTCAAGCCTTGAGCTGATAAAAGCATGATGATTTAAAACAAAAGCTTAACTTTGGTTAAAAGATGTAGCTGATGAAATCTGGCCTTTTACGGAGGATATATGTTTGTCGAATTCAAATCCTTGCCAAAAGTCACCCTTAAAGTCTGAACTTGGCTGTCTAAGCACCAAAGTTACGTCGCTCACACTCTCTGTTTTTTTCTTAATTTAAAACTAGAAAATGATGAAGCCACTGCTCAATATCTGCAATACATTTAATTAAAGTAGTGTGAAAGTGGACACCTTTGGGCTTTAAGGGTAAAAAAAAATTGTAAGTCATCCGCATTTAGCTGTGAAAAGAAAAGCAGTGCAGCAGTGCACTTTCCAATATTAAAACAAGGCAGTAGAAAACAGCATCAAAGCTATTAGAACTGTTTGCCCATGAAATTGTATTTATGGTTTGATTTATTCACTCTTCAGGATGGTGGCTGTAGTTGCCCCGGAGATGTCGCTAAAGCCTTCGGTGAGTAAAAACGGCACACGTTTTGTCTCGTCGTGCGCTCTGAACACAATCATTCACCTCCACTTCACTCGCCAGGTGCCGGGGCCGACTTTGTGATGATGGGAGGAATGCTGGCGGGCCACGACCAGTGCTCCGGGGAGACCATCGAGAAGAACGGGAAGAAGTACAAACTCTTCTACGGCATGAGCTCGGACACAGCCATGAAGAAGTACGTGGGTGGAGTCGCTGAGTACAGGTGAGATGCATGAAGTTCAAATTAGAAGACACAGTTATAGCAGGTACACTCTATCAGTCTTTGCTTTTTTTTTTTTTTTTGGCCTTCAGGGCGTCTGAAGGGCGGACGGTGGAGGTTCCGTACAGAGGAGATGTAGAAAACACCATCCGGGACATCCTGGGGGGGCTCCGCTCCACCTGTACCTACGTGGGCGCAGCCAAACTCAAGGAACTGAGCCGCAGAACCACCTTCATCCGGGTCACGCAACAGTCCAGCCACATGTTCTCCTAGGAGAGACCCTCTCCCCTCATGACAACCAACAAACCCACATATTATGCATGACTAGAGGGGTCTACTCAGGGTGTCGAAAAGCTCCAAATTCAGCAAAGTTTGACGTGTATTCAACCATTTTAACCACAAAGCAAAACTCTTATCATGTTCTAGTTAGGAACGTATTAGGATTTTGGATTGGGGATAAGAAAATACAAAGCTGCATTTATGATGTAATACTTTCTAGTTTGGAGAAAATGGGATAAAAAGCTAAACGATTGTGTTTTAACGACAGTAATAATGGAACTTATATGAAGTTTGGAGTATTAGGACATTTACAAAATGTCAATAATTTGCAAAGATATTCAGCAGGTGTGCATGAATTTATCGTGATCAATCAGGGAGTCACTTTTTTTTTTTAACTGAATGCAAAAACTTCCAAGTCTCCACATTTCCTCTGGACAAATCACGTGGCATTAAACTCTATGCAGAACTCTGTTTATGTCCTCGGATTCTTTGAAGCGTCTCCAAAGAAATCAGTGTTTGCGTCTGTGTGCATGCAGTCTGAATGTTTCAGTGACGAGGGCGAGCACTTCAAATACTTTGCTGATTTGAGACGCAGCTGCTGTCAGACACGTCCTCCTCGTCTGCGCCGCTTTCAGCGAGCCTGGCGGTTTCAGTCAACCTCATGGACGAGCGGGGCCTGCGACGGAGAGCTGCGAACACCCTTTAACATGGAAAGCACTTTAAAGAAGGTTGCATTGTTTACTTCAATGAAGGCAACAGAACAAAGATGTAGTAATGTGTCATCTCTGTCTGAAAAATAAAATGGAAATGTTTTCATGACTTTTTGAGTTTTCATTTTGCTTGAAGATTAAATCCCAAATTTCTTGCATCATCAAATTTTGGTTTTGATAAGAAAATGACGCATGCAGTCAACAATATAGGAAACACTGCTTTTAGGCAACATTGTTTGTCTTTGAGGAAAAAACAAACATTTTGCACAGATTTCAACAGTGTGGCTTTAGACAGTGTCCTGCACTGATCTGTATTAACTCCAAACCTGCCATCTGCTATAAACATTCACTACAATAAGTTTAATAAGTCTTGCTTTTGACATGAGATATGAGGTGTTTTCTGTGAAGTAGTTCTCAGTAGTTAATATCTAACCTGTTGTAGGCAGCAGCCAGTAAACAGCAACAAACTAAACACAGGTTCAGGTGCAAAAACGTTAAAATCAGCAAATACGGCAGTTTGTTGCATCTGTATAGTTTTCAGTTTGAGTTATTTCATGTGTAAATTTATTAGTTTCTGCACACATATTTAACTAAAATGTGTTTACTGTTGATGTTACTGAACCTGAACTTTGTCTTCGAGACAATCGTTATTGTTTTCTGTTGGAAAGGCCACGTTCGGTTACCACATCTGCAGTAAGTAAACCTAAAACTTTAAACAAAAATGTGTGTTTAGTTGATTATTTCTTTGTTGTAACAATGCTTCTTGGCAATAAATCGCATATAGTTGGAAAGGCTGTTAATTCCCCTTTTAAATGGTGCCACATTTGTAAGGAACATGCATTTGTGGGTTGTGCACATAAAAGAATTGCCAATCTTCTTTGCCAAACAGCTTATTTTGAGCTTCTGGTACCCCCAAGTGTTTCCAATCAATAATATTTATTGCCAAGAAGTATTGTTACAACAAATAAAATAATCTACCAAACACTACTTTCCTTTTATTTGTGCGAAGTTAATAAATCAGCTGAATGAAACGATCTTCTGATTAGAGTTTGTAATTCAGTCTATCGACCATTAGAGGGAGCTAGTGCTTCGTTTCAGAAAACCAGAAGTGAGGGTTTAAACAACGTTGAGCATGAATATTCAGGGTGTCATGAGTGTAAGTGCATATTTTTGTGTGGTCATTTAAAATAAAGACACCATTTGTCCATTTTCTCCAGATATGTCAAGGTTTCATTTTCCTTTTCAAAGAGGTGCATTTACACTGATGTCAAATACATACACCAACAGAGTTTCTCCATTGCTATAGAGGAATAGGGTGGTGAAACATGGGGACTTGGTGAGTACAGTATAGTACAAACAAGTTGGCTGGGATTCGCTGCGGCCCGCTGCAGGCCAGACTGTCCGTGTCGGACTGTGCTGATGTCTGGTTGTCTGCCACCGTCTCACAGGGCCAGAAAAAGTTCAGTTCAGTACTTGGTTGTAGCAGGTTAGGAGCCAGATCTAGACAAGCCTCGAGGCTGAGTGTTCAGAATTGGGCAAATGGGGAATCAGCTGAGTTGTCCAGCTGATGGTTAAAGCTCCGCCCCTCTCCGGTGGCAGTGGGCGGGGTCAGAGGTCAGGAATCAAACAGCCTGTCCTCTGATGAAGTGTTTGTTGTTTTTCGCCGTGCACAGAGGCGGAGCAGACGTTCAGTACGCTGAGGAGTTATCCAAGGCATCTCCAGCATGTCACACATCATATAATAATTTATAGATACCTGTCCATAAAGACATTTATTAATCAAATCAAAGAATAAATCAAATTATATGTGATAAATTACATACCATATGACCCATGTTAAACAGCCCACTATGTAAAGTGATTCAGGTGAAATTAAACTGTCATGTGGGCGTGTACGCTTTTATTAATTTTTTTAATTTATTTTTAATTTGTTTTTCTGCCTGAGTTGGTTATCCAGCGCTATGGACATTTAAGAGACAAAAAAC